GGGGGGGGGGGGGGGGGGGTCAGTTTATGTCGGGTCAGGGGCTGTGCCAGTGTGGCCGGGCGGCCACAGCAGACGGATTCGCACACACCGGGGGCCATGTGATTGATACGGTACACCAGAACGAACAGACAGAGAGGGTGGGAGGGAGGCCTCTCTGCGCCGTTTCTGCATCGGCGTGAGGGCCCGACCAACCCGACTCATTCATGGTGTCTTGGGCCAATGAGGGATTCACCGTAAGGTTTGGGTGAAGTCGAAACTCGCACGCATGATTTGCAAACCGGTCAGTCTCAATGGTCAAACGGACTCTCTTAAGATCGTTGTACGTACATCATTATCAAAGTACACACGGCTACCAAGACCGGAAGGCGCCAGTGCTACCACGGCAAGACTTCTCCTCTATAATTCCACCTGCAAGCACACACACACACACACACTCAGAGCAAAACGATCGGTTGGTGAATGAGCGCCTCCCCCCTCCTCGTTCGCTTCTGGCGCACCATGTTCCTGTGTTGGTCATGTCAAGAGCATCAATTTGAGCCTCGAGTCCCTTAGCACTGGTCTCCGGCTTAATGTTCCCATTGTAACCCGTCATCTGTGTCTGCACGTACCTGATTGATGGACCCGCCACACAACAGATCGACACAATTGTCTTCGATGGCTGCGAGTGTCTCCTTTGTCACATGCCCACCCTGGGTGCAGCAGGCACACGGCAATGCCTGCAGGAACAGAGGACAAGAAACAAAAGGTGGTGGTTGGTGTGTGGGTGTGTAGGTGTGGGTGTGGGTGTGTCTTGCTTGGCTGACTGACCGTATCTTTTCAAGTCGATGCTGAGGGATTTAGCGCAGATGTTCATGGCACTCTTGCTCATCCTGTAGCCATAATATCCTCCAGAGGAGTTGTCATCGACACTTCCCATCTGCATCCATCCATCCATCCATCCATCCATCTCTCTGTGTGGTTCATCCATCGAGCCATCTAGCTAACCATTCAGCCACAGATCACCCATCCCAATGCGTCAACCAAGCAAACACATCCATGTGTAGCGGGCTGACCTGGGAGGTCATTAGGGCGATCTTCCCGCCAGGTGACCTGACCAAGTCCCGCTTCAGCAGCTCCACAGTGAGCTCCAGCGGGCCCACGGCATTCACCTGCATACTCTCTGGGGCGCAACCACATACCACATAGCACACATATACACAAAGTGTTTATCTATCGAATCGAAATCACTTCACCTCTTATCGAATCGAAATCGAGGTTAAACAGATCGATGCCTCGCTCGTCGAGCACCCCCGCATTCTGTATGACAATGTCGAGCTTCGCATTTGACGAGAGGAGGCTGTCGGCCAGCCGCTTGATGGACTCGCTGGACGTCAGGTCAAGACCAGGAAGCGGCACCACACTGCTGTCGCCCTGCAATGATCAACACAACCGAACCAGTGGCATGCATCGGTCACTTCTCTGCTCGTTTCTTGCCTTGAGCGAATCGATGGCAGGCGATGCCTTCCTATCGGCAGCAAAAACCTGGTATCCTTTCTCCCTGAACAGTTTGCAGAGCGCAGATCCGATGCCGCCCGCAGCACCAGTGACAAGCACGCTGCCTTTCATCTGGGCAAAGGCTGGTGCGGATTGCCTCGTCGGAGAGCGCAGCGATACGGCCAGCAGCTGGGAAGAGTGAGGCAGCACGAAGATCAGCAGCAGACAATGAGTCAGAGCCATCCGACCTGCATACATCAACAACAACTGCATGCATTGCAGAACCTTTCCGTGGCGTACCTTTCCGGATCCTGAGTATTTCTGAGCTCGCATCTCTCGATCGCGAAAGGAAAAGAGTGTAGAAAGAGTGTTGCAAGAGCCAAATTGCAAAGCTTCTGCAGCTTCTGAGCCATCAGCAGCTCGAGAAGACCGGCTTTCTGTACCTGTCTCAACGCGCGTCTCATCGAAGTCCTTTGCAACTCGTCCCCCACCCATCAGCCCTCCTACGAGGCTACAACCCACTCCCCATGCAGCGAAGGCTTCGCCTCCGTCCCGCTCGCGCCTCTGCAGTGCGTGAGGCGCGGCACATCGGCGAGGCTCCGCGCCCCCAACGCAAGTTCATGTGCGGCTGCCTCCCCTTCCCCCGTGGCTTGCGCCGGCCCAAGGCCACCAGAGTCACGGCATGTGGCGAGGGTGATGCTCCTCCGCCGTCAGAGAAGGAGCCCCTCGACGACGACGACGCTGAGTCTCCCCCACCAGCCAGCTGCCCATCGAGTCGCCTGACGACGCAGCACAATGCAGATGGCGACGCGCAAGGGGGGGTAGGCTGTCCGCCTTCAGAGAAGGAGATCGCCAATGCCACAGGGGTCCCAAGCAACACCACGACCACCGTCACGGCCAGCGTCTCACAGCCCAGTGACCACAGCCGACCGTCGAGCCGCCTGACGCACTACGAGGGCGACACAAAAGGTTGCGCCCTGGACATCGAAGCCTCTGATCCTACTCTGGTGAAGGAGTTGGGCGTGAGGAAAACAAAGTCCGATCCAGGCGTGAAACTGCCTCCCGTACCTTGCCGTGAGGACGGCAGCCGACCTGTGGACGAAAGCGGTATCGTCCTGCCGTCGGAGCTGAGTGAGATTCTGGACCTCTACGTGGACAGATGGGAGGAAGAAGCCGAGGAGATTGACGAGACACGCCAGCCCAATGAATGTGAGTCGGAGGACACCAGCAAATCTGAGTCGGGGGACAGCAGCAATGTACCCTACCGCCGGCTCTCGGGCTTCTCTGTGTGAGACCACCGACGGCCAGCCAATGGCAGCCTCCACCCAAGCCCGTGTGCAAGGGTCCGGTTTAATGTGGTTCACGCTATAGAGATAGCGTTGACTCGATGCTCTTGAGACACCACACCTGATGGGAGACACTCAGCGATTCAATCAACAGGCACACCAACACGGAGACACGAACGGGATCTCACAACGTCACAAAGAGTTAACACGCAGCACTGAGTCACACTTGCTGACAACAAAAGGCTCTGACACGACTGACACACACACCTGCGACAGCCAATGAATCACGACAACAAAGCCCTGTGTGTTTGACCTTCGACACGTCTCGACGCCTTGGGGCTTGGCTGCTTTGGCTTCCCTCGAGTGGGCAACTTGACTGTCGTCAGACACGCCCTGTGCCTTAGGCTCAATGGAATGGCTCCCCTCTCCGGGCGGGGAATCTCTTAGTGTGTGCCTGAGGTGAGGAGAGGTGATGAGACACGAACCTCACCAGTCACGGTCTGATGTTGACTTCCCTTGGAGGTGCTGGCTTGTGAGTGATGGGATTGGAAGGGCACAGACGGCCAACAGGCTGGGAGTGGTCAGAAGCACTGTAAATACGACAAGTAGGGAAAAGTTTGGAAAATGATGATTTTGGTCATCGGGATGAAGCGAAAATGGCAGGAATGTCAGCCGTCAGACAAAAACTTTCGCCCGGTAGAAACTTATTTTCTCCCGGGCGAAAGATTATTTTCTCCGGGGCGGAATTTATTTTCTATGGGGCGAAAGTTATTTTCTACGGGGCGAAACTTATTTTCTGCGGGGCGAAAGTTTCAATATTCCGTTTGAAGAGATCCCTAACCTTGATTCTCAACTGGGGGAAATGGGTGGCCCCACCTTCTTTCGTTTGTTTTGTGTCACAGCTGTCGCCCCCCTTGCCTTGCCACGCCGCCCTCGGCGAATCGCTGCCCTCCGTGATGGTAAGACTGTCAGAAGTGCAAGTCGGTCCAGGGTTTAGGGTCTAGGGTTCATAGACCGACGATCCACTGATCTGTGAGACAGGACGGCTGTTGAGTCTTTGTCCGTTCCATGAGACAGGCCATGGCGGACAGGACGTCAGACAGGATGGACTGACGCATACTACATGTCCTACGTGGACTCTCCACAAAATCCACAGACCTTACGTTGCATTGACTTAATCCTTTATCCGGGACTGACCGCCCGGCAGATCCTCTCTTCACCATTCTCCCCGACTCTCTCCCCCCTATTCTGACATGGGCGCAGCAATCTGGTTTGTCTTTTCCGCCTGATCGGCAGTTGGGCAGATCCTAACAGGTCTGTCTATCATCCGCCTGTCGGCAGTCTGTCTGTGCAGCAGCCTGTCAGCAGCCTGTCTATCGTCT